AGGATAGTCGTGCTCAGCCAGCTCCCAGTCGAACCTCTGCACCAAATGGTGAAGAAACACCGCCATCTCCAGCTTCGCCAGCTCTGAGCCTGGACACAGTCGAGGGCCACCGCTGAACGACATTATGTTGCAGTTCTTCGCCACTATCGCAAAGATCGTCTGCAGAGGCAGAGGTGATGGGTTAATATTAGAGAGTTCTTTAGGATAGTCGTGCTCAGCCAGCTCCCAGTCGAACCTCTGCACCAAATGGTGAAGAAACACCGCCATCTCCAGCTTCGCCAGCTCTGAGCCTGGACACAGTCGAGGGCCACCGCTGAACGACATTATGTTGCAGTTCTTCGCCACTATCGCAAAGATCGTCTGCAGAGGCAGAGGTGATGGGTTAATATTAGAGAGTTCTTTTTAAGGGATGAAGGGTGTTTTCATCTTTGTCTGTCGCACCAGGGCACGCGTCACACATTAGACTTGATGGTGTTAGCACGAGTGAAAATACACTCAGTCTCAACTATCAATTGAATAATAAACTGGTGTAATCAAATGAGCATCTTTACTAATGTGGTTTTTTTTACAGCGGAGAAGATCCAAATCCGTTCAAAAAGGGACCGCTGGAGCATGAAATTTGGATAAATTTCACAAACCTCTTGGAGGTTTTTGAACAAAACCAACATGAACTTTATAAAGTAAGATCTATTTTAGATTTTTATCTTCAATAATTATAAAACAAAATTTCATAATTAGCTAATAAAGAAGGTATATAGCTAACCTCCCATCTCCAAGGGTTGTAAATTTGCGGGTCATCGTAGATTGCTGGATCCAAATGTGCTGCTGATATGATGGCTACTACTTTCCATCCACATGGAATATCATACCCTACACAAATAAAAATTAAACAGAAAAAGTCAAAAGATAAAGTTCAAACTGCTCTTTGCACAAAATATCTTATATTCAAACTTTTGAAGTGCTAAATTTGTTGGATTTAATCTAATAAATCTATTTGTGGGCACATATGATTAATCAATGTGTATTGCTATCTTTCAGGATAACCCACTAAAGTGATCAATTAAGTTGGGTTAATGGGTATTTAAATATAATCATGGGGTCATATGTGCAGATACCAGGTTGTAATTGTGATTTATTGATGGGCTAAATTACAAAAGTACAACATCTATAAATAAGGGGATATGGTCCCTAACCTAGGGTTACATTAATTCTCTAATTCTCTTCACCCCCATCTAAGAGAGAAATTCGGCTAAAGGAGAAAACCCTAAGGTTAGAAGATCCAAAACCCAAAATCAAGATCAATCTATGGATTCAGGTATAAGCTTCCGCTCTCTTTTTAGTTTTTTGTTAATCTCTTTGAATTAATCATGGCTATATGGTTTTAGATCTCAAGTTTTGATTTAGATCTAACAAGTGGTATCAGAGCCACCTTGATCAATTCTTAGGGATTTAAGTTTTATTGGGGTTTTTGATCTTAAATCTCTGGTTAAAGAGTCAATTTTTTGGGTTCGGATGAACAGTAACGAAAATTTTCGGATGAACAGTAATTTTTTGTTCGGATGAACAATAAAGTTTTTTTCGGATGAACAGTAACTTTTTGGATTTTTCTTTGATTTTTTCTTCAATTTTTTCCAATTCTGGATCTGTTTTGAAAATAAAAATCAAATGTTTTTTGGGTTTGTCGGCGGCGGTTTCAATTTGAAACCCTAAGGGTTCGTGCGTGCGTGAAACGTGGCGAAAATTAAGGAGGTGGTTACCTCAAACGAACCTCGCGTTCGTTCAATTTTAACCGAGCTTCGCGCTCAACGAACTTCGCGTTCGTTATCAAGTGAGCCTCACGCTCAACGAACTTCGTGTTCGTTCTAAGGTGAACCTCGCGTTCAACTCAGGTGAGCGTCAAGCTCAATTTTAACGAACCTCGCGTTCGTTCTAAGGTGAACCTCGTGTTCAACTCAGGTGAGCGTCAAGCTCAATTTTAACGAACCTCACGTTCGTTCTAAGGTGAACCTCGCGTTCATTTCAGACGAACTTCGCGTTCGTGCTTCAGACGAACCTCACGTTCGTGCTTCAGACGAACCTCGCGTTCGTGCTTCAGTCGAACCTCGCGTTCGTGCTCCAGTCGAACCTCGCGTTCGCGCTTCAGTCGAACCTCGCGTTCGTGCTTCAGTCGAACCTCGCGTTCGTGCTTCAGTCGAACCTCGCGTTCATCCTTCTTTTTAACGAACCTCGCGTTCGTTCACGAACCTCGCGTTCATTTTTTTTAACGGACCTCGCGTTCGTTCTCAAACGAACCTCGCGTTCGTACTTAAGTGAGTCTCATACTCAACATAGTCGAACCTCGCGTTCGAAGTTAAGGGAACTTCGTGTTCATTATGGTTAAGCCTCGGCTTTTTATGGGTCCACTTTGGTATACTTAATTTATTCAATTAAGTTATGGGCCCTAATTAAGCTATGAGACCCCAATTAAGTTTTTAGAAATTCAGTTGATTTAAATTAAAATTTTTTAATTTAAATCTAATTCGGTTTTTAATCAATTATTTAATTCAAATATTATGACACTAAGGTATTAAGGTTGTCTCTCACTCCAATTGATTAATTAAAACAAGAAGTTACCAAAGTAACCTCTCTTGTATAGATTGTTCATGAGGAATATGAGATGTTTGTGTGTATGCCTTCGTGTAAATATTTAATCGGCCCAAAGGAAGGTTAATATTTATTTAGACTGTATACACATCTGCGATGATAAGCGTGTGACAATTATAAGGTTTACATGTGAATAATGAATCGATCCAAAGATAGTTTCATTATTTGACATGAGTTATTGTCAATGTTTGATCATTGCAACAAGGTATCACTTACAATTTAATATTACTGTCCAAAAACTTGATATTAATGTTGTGCCGGTATCTTGGATGGGAATTGTCATTATTTGAATTTTATTGATTATGGTTATTGATGTGAGCATTTTTGTTTTATTTCATCTAATGCATCTGCTGTAACAATTTCTGCTAACATCAACTCAATTCCCATGCTAAATGGGACAAACTTCAAGGTTTGGAAAGAGAACATATTAATTGTTCTTGGCTGCATGGATCTTGACTATGCATTAAGAACTGAACAACCCCAACCTCTCAATGCGGATAGCACTCCTGATGCAAAGAAGGAGCATGAGAAGTGGGAGCGTTCAAATCGCATGAGTCTTATGATCATTAAGCGCGGCGTTCCGGAAGCCTTCAGGGGCATAGAATCCGAAGGGATTACTAAGGCTAAAGATTTCCTTGCCGAAATTGAGAAGCGTTTTGCGAAAAACGATAAGGTAGAAACAAGCACGCTTTTAGCTCGCTTGATTTCAATGAAGTATAAGGGCAAGGGAAATATCAGGACGTACATTATGGAAATGTCTCATATTGCTTCAAAGCTTAAGGCACTTAAACTCGATCTTTGTGATGAGTTATTAGTGCATCTGGTTTTGTTGTCTCTTCCTGCACAATTTAATCAGTTTAACGTCAGTTATAACTGTCAAAAGGAGAAATGGACTCTAAATGAGCTCATTTCATACTGTGTGCAAGAAGAAGACAGGTTGAAGCAAGATAAGACAGAAAGTGCTCATTTGGCCTATGCCTCTAAGGATAAGGGCAAGAAAAGGAAGAATGATAAGGAAGCTGCTAAGGGTCCAGTTGAGAAGAAACAACATAAGGATAATCAGGGTTGTTTCTTCTGTAAGAAGCCTGGACATGTAAAGAAGGACTGTACAAAATATCACGCCTGGCGTGATAATAAGGGTACGTTCCTTGCTTTGGTCTGTTCTGAGGTTAATTTAGCTTCAGTACCTAGAAACACTTGGTGGTTAGACTCTGGTGCTACTACTCACATAAGTGTTTCTATGCAGGGTTGCCTGAGCTACCGAAAGCCAAGTGATGTTGAAAGACACATCTTTGTGGGCGACGGACAATCGGTAGATGTGGAAGCAATTGGGCACTTTAGGTTGTTGTTAGGAACTGGTTATTATTTGGATTTAAAAGATACTTTTGTAGTACCGTCTTTTAGACGGAATTTGGTTTCTGTTTCTGTATTGGACAAATCAGGTTATTCTTGTTCATTTGGAAACAGTCAATTCAGTTTATCTTTTAATTCAAATGTTGTGGGAACCGGTTACTTGAGTATTTATGACAACCTATATTTGCTTGATACAATTGCTTCTTACAATGAATCCTTGCATGTGGAATCACGTGGTACTAAGCGTAAATTAAATAAGGAAAATTCGGCGACATTATGGCATAAGCGCTTAGGTCATATCTCAAAAGGTAGAATTGAGCGTCTTGTGTCTGATGGCATTTTGGATTCCCTTGATTTTTCGGACTTCGACGTATGTGTTGAATGTATCAAGGGAAAACAGACCAAAGTGAAAAGATTAGGTGCCAACAGATCTTCGGATGTCTTAGAATTGATACATACGGATATTTGTGGGCCATTCCCTACGGAATCCTGGAATGGTCAACAATATTTTATATCATTCATAGACGATTACTCACGTTATGGGCACCTATATCTTATTCATGAAAAATCTGAGTCTCTGGACATGTTCAAAGCCTATAAAGCTGAAGTTGAGAATCAACTCAACAGAAGAATTAAAACCGTCAGATCTGATCGTGGTGGTGAGTACTACGGTAGATATGATGGTTCAGGTGAACAACGTCCAGGACCATTTGCTAGATACCTAGAGGAATACGGTATCGTCCCACAGTACACCATGCCGGGTTCACCTAGCATGAATGGTGTAGCTGAAAGACGAAACAGGACTCTTAAGGATATGGTAAGAAGTATGATTGCTCATTCTTCTTTACCAGAGTCACTCTGGGGAGAAGCACTTAAGACAGCAGCTTACATTCTGAATAGAGTACCAAGTAAAGCAGTTGCTAAAACACCTTATGAGCTTTGGACTGGTCGAAAGCCCAGTTTAAAGCATTTACATATTTGGGGATGTCCAGCTGAGGCAAGGCCTTATAGGCCAAATGAAAAGAAATTGGACTCCAAAACAGTTAGCAGCTACTTTATTGGATACTCTGAACGCTCTAGGGGCTTTAAGTTTTATGATCCCACTATAAGGAACATTTTTGAGACGGGAACAGCAACATTCTTTGAGGATGTTGAGTTTGGGGGGAGAAATAAGGTTAGAGACATTAGTTTTGAGGAGGAATTGGCTTCAGATCCAATCCATACAGTTACTTTTGACAATATTCAGGTTCCTATACCTGTTGTTGCTCAAGAAGTAAATCCGGAACCTCAAGATGATAATGTTGAACAACTCCCTGTTCCAGAAGAACAAACTCAACAACCTCAAGAACCAGTGCCATTAAGGAGATCCACAAGAGAAAGGAGAAATGCTATTCCGGATGATTACATTGTATTTCTTCAAGAACATGAGGAAAGTAGTGGAATGTTGGAAGATGATCCAATCAACTTCTCTCAGGCCATGAAAAGTTCTAACTCTCAACAGTGGATTGATGCCATGAATGAAGAGTACAAGTCTATGCAAGTGGATTGATGCCATGAATAAAGAGTACAAGTCTATGCAAGACAATAAGGTTTGGGAACTTGTCCCATTGCCAGAAGGTGCAAAACCAATTGGTTGTAAATGGATTTTTAAAACCAAACGGGATGCAAACGGTAATGTGGAGAGGTATAAGGCACGTCTTGTGGCTAAAGGCTATACTCAAAAGGAAGGCATTGATTATACAGAGACTTTCTCTCCGGTTTCATCGAAAGACTCTTTCAGAATAATCATGGCACTTGTTGCTCATTATGATCTTGAGTTACATCAGATGGATGTTAAGACTGCATTTCTCAATGGAGACATTGATGAGATGATTTATATGGTGCAACCAGAAAACTTTGTGTCAGGAGACCCAAAGAATATGGTTTGCAAATTAAGGAAATCCATCTATGGACTCAAGCAAGCTCCTCGTCAATGGTATCATAAGTTTCAACAAATAGTTATCTCGTTCGGTTTTGAGATGAACATTGTTGAAGACAGTGTATATCACAAGTTCAGTGGGAGTAAGTATATTTTTCTGGTTCTTTATGTCGATGACATCTTGCTTGCCACTAATGATATAGGCATGTTGCACGAAACCAAGAGATTTCTATCAAAGAATTTTGAGATGAAAGATCTTGGGGACGCCTCTTTTATATTAGGGATCCAGATATATCGAGATCGCTCTCGGGGTGTTCTTGGATTATCACAAAAGAGCTATATCGATAAGGTACTTAAAAGGTTTGGCATGCAAGATTGCAGACCAGGTGACACCCCTGTTGCTAAAGGAGACAAGTTTAGTCTCAATCAGTGCCCTAAAGGTAACCTTGAAATTCAGGAAATGCAGAAGATTCCTTATGCTTCGGCTGTAGGAAGTCTAATGTATGCTCAGGTATGTACGCGTCCGGATATTGCGTACATTGTTGGGATGTTAGGCAGATACTTAAGCAACCCTGGTATGGATCATTGGATAGCAGTCAAAAGGGTTATGAGGTATCTTCAGAAAACAAAAGATTACATGCTCACATACAGAAAATCAGAGAAATTAGAGGTCATTGGGTATTCGGACTCTGATTTTGCTGGATGCCAAGATAGCAGGAAGTCTACATCAGGCTACATTTATATGTTAGCAGGAGGAGCTATATCATGGAAAAGTATCAAACAAACACTAGTAGCTTCCTCCACTATGGCAGCAGAATTTGTAGCTTGCTATGAGGCATCCAATCAGGGAATATGGCTGCGAAATTTTATCATGGGACTGCGCATTCTGGAAAATGTTGAAAGACCACTAAGGTTATATTGTGACAATAAATCTGCAGTAATGTATTCCAATAACAACAAGAGCTCAACTAAGTCAAAACATATTGACATTAAGTTCCTGGTTGTGAAAGAAAGGGTACAGAGTGGACAGATATCCATAGAGCACATTGGGACAAACTCCATGATAGCTGATCCTCTTACTAAGGGATTGCCACCTAAGGTCTTTCATGAGCATACTGCTCATATGGGTGTGGTATTATTTGAGGATATTATGTTTTAGTGGGAGTTTGTATTTGTGGTGCTTTATGTTTGGTTGTATTGTCTGATCAGAATAAAGTATTCAGTTAAGACACTCTGTTACATTATGTTTGGTTTTGACCTCACTAAGGAGGACCAGTTGAAAATAGACATGTACTGATCACATTGCATGTAATTTTCATGCTGCACATCCATGATTGATCTATGTCATTTGATTGTATTGGTATATGTGACCATTGATGGGTCGAGTCACGATAAATGTGACGAAGGCCGCTTTGATCCTATATTGATATAGTCAATGGACGAGATTGTTCGGAAATACCTTTTTCAGTGATAGCAATTTTTGAGCTCATAAGGTTATACACAATTTAAGGAATCATATGGTGCCCAAGTGGGAGATTGTTGGATTTAATCTAATAAATCTATTTGTGGGCACATATGATTAATCAATGTGTATTGCTATCTTTCAGGATAACCCACTAAAGTGATCAATTAAGTTGGGTTAATGGGTATTTAAATATAATTATGGGGTCATATGTGCAGATACCAGGTTGTAATTGTGATTTATTGAGGGGCTAAATTACAAAAGTACAATATCTATAAATAAGGGGTTATGGTCCCTAACCTAGGGTTACATTCTCTAATTCTCTTCACCCCCATCTAAGAGAGAAATTCGGCTAAAGGAGAAAACCCTAAGGTTAGAAGATCCAAAACCCAAAATCAAGATCAATCTATGGATTCAGGTATAAGCTTCCGCTCTCTTTTTAGTTTTTTGTTAATCTCTTTGAATTAATCATGGCTATATGGTTTTAGATCTCAAGTTTTGATTTAGATCTAACAAAATTACCTTTAAATTGCACATCTTTAATTGCTCTCCTTTGCAAGAACTTCACAACATTGCCTAGTCTTAGAGTTTCATGAATAACCTATAAAAAAAACATTATAATTTTCCAATATCAGGCTTCAGTTACGCTTTTCCATGGATTATAACCAACTTTATGTTAAAAAGAAAAAGAAAAGAAAAAAGAAGTACCATATAGTTTATAAGAACAACAGAAAACTCTAACGTGTCAAACATAAAATTTTATCCCATTATTTTCTATATCTACTTACTTATGATTATTTATTTAGTTAATCATCTAAATATAATAATGATATATATGTTTAAATGATAATATCAAATTTAATTTCTTGTGCGTGAACACTGCAAATCATAGAGATCAATTACACATTGGGTGAATTCCATTTGCTTGTAGTCATCCCAATTCAATCCAGTTTCGCCTCGTTCCTTCATCTTCATCGCAATCCTAATGTGCTCTTCCTGAAATCACCACAAACGAACATTTACACATAAATTGAAGTCAAGTGCTGTAATGATTAGTGACAAATATCTGAAGGGCAAAGAGTTTGTGAATAACTCGCAGTTGTTGCAGGACTTTGGGAGAAGACTGCAGGAAATAAATAGCTAAAGAGATAGCGGCAGAGGAGGTCTCGTGGCCAGCGAAGAGCATGCTCAGTATTAAATCAAGAGTCTGATCTCTCGTTAGATGTGGGTGCTTTGCGACCGATGCAAGGAGATCGTCTTCTTCGAACCCTTCAACTCCCCCTTCTATCTTTCGTACTCTCTCATCCAGTTTTTGTCCTATGAGCTTCAGGATCGCTGACCTCGACCGTAAAGATAGATACCACATGCAAGACAGGGCAGTAGTGAAGTTACAATGTGCGTATCTAGTATCTCAAATAGCTACATAGGATATCATCGAATTGTCTATTTTTACTTGTATTTACAACTCGTAGCACACCACTGAAATTATGGCGCCATGACCGCTATAAGTACAGAGTGATAGAAAACTATTAATAGGTACTCAGGTCCATATGGCTCATTTGATGAGTGAATCATAAACACATCCGTTAATTGACATAAAGAGTACGTTCCGACTAAATAAGACCCAATTAGCAAGGGAGGCAAAGAAATAAGAGGGTTTAGTAGCAATTAACACCTTCAAGGCCCTTCTGTAGGCTGTCCCTGGCAAATTCAAAGGAATAGAGGCCATTCCCTTCATAAAGAAACCATACTCTTTCCTCAGCTGCTCCGTCTCTAGCATTTCAGGATCCATGTTCATCAGATGCTTCACCGTCAAGTTAAACGCAAACTGCACATATCTCCAACCATACATATGACATTGAAATTTACATAAATAACATTATTCGTTAAAGTGTGAAGCTGAATATAAAATAAGGTTGAATATATATAGTTGATAGATATATTATCTGTAATACCACAGAGGATGCATGGGCAATTAATTAAGCATATGCAAATAGGGTTAAATTTCACATAGACCCTTGTAATATCTCCTTGTGCCACTTATTGCCCCTTATGCTTCAGATAGTCAATATTATAAAATATAGGCTTGATTGCACATAGATGAGGCCTGGTGCTATCAATGTTTTGGAATGATTAGTTTCTTTTTGGCAAATAGACCCTAGATAAATTTTTTTTTGACTTAATTTATTTTTTTGACAGATATTGTCGTTAATTGGTGAAATTTATCCGACCGTAAAACATTAGTACCTTCTTCCCTTCTTCCACCGCGGAGAAAGTAGAGTTGTGCTTCCAAGAATCAAGGATATTAACAACCTTGGCTTCAATATCAGGGAGAAAATAATTGCGGAGCTTGACGTTGTTCATGAAATTAACGGCTATGGACCTCAATTCTCTATGTATATCACCTGTCACCGAGATCATCGACCATCGGCCCATAATCTCGGCCGTGCTCTTCGAATAGCTACTCTGGAACAGCTTCTCCTCGCTCTGCAGTATCAGCCGGTTCAACTCCGGGTCCACCGATACGATCGTTGGCTCCCCGAGCAAACTCATCTTAAATACCCTCCCATACCTACAACCACAATAATAAGAATAAATAGCATATTCTGTTATCACGTTTCATTGAGGAGGAGATGATTGATTACTTCAAAAATTACCCTTAAATCCAAATGCCCGAACTAAATTTTTTTTTAATCCAACCGCAACATGTTAAATCCAAATAACTGATACGTCATATACAGAGCAACTTAAACCCAGGCATAACGACAGATCACCACCACCGATTACAGCAATCAAAGCAGAAATTAAGTTTAAAAGTAATTCCGTAAGGATATTTTAGATGTTAAGAGTGATTTTAGAAGTGAGTAGGTTAATTAACTTTGATTTTGTAATTAAACGGAAAAAAAAAACCCATAAGATTTTACGAACTTGGCGATGTGTTGGTCGATGAAAGTGCCTAGAGAGGCCGACGAATGTGGCTGCATGAAGGGGATCGTGTCCCCAATGAGAGGCCAACCGCCGACTTTTCCCGGTGGGAGCTTGAGGGACTTCCCTGCGAGTTTGTTGTTGCTACCGAAACCAAAGAAGATGACGAGGGATATGACTAGTGTAGAGAGTACTAGGAGAAGCTCCATTGCCATGGCTAATATTGAGAGAGACCTTAGGGAGTTAGGGGTCTTGTTTGCTTAGTAGTGGATGGAGTGAATGGTACCTAAGGGCTTGTTTGGATTGAGGGGAATGAGGGTGAAGGAAAGTTAGGAGAACCATTCACCTCCATTCACTTTGTTTGGGAACACTTAGGAGGTGAAGTTAATTCACCTCCATTCACCTTGGTTCACCCCCAAATAGTATAAAAATTGTTACCCCCCAAATTGGGGTGTAACCAAGGGGAAGGGAATGTTCACCCCCAAATAGTATAAAAATTGTTACCCCCCAAATTGGGGTGTAACCAAGGGGAAGGGAATTCCCTTCCCTTCCCTATTGTTACCCCCCAAATTGGGGTGTAACCAAGGGGAAGGGAATTCCCTTCCCTTCCCTTCACTCAGTTTTCCTTAACTTCCCTTCACCCCCTACGAATCCAAACAGGCCCTAAGATTTTTTTATAGATCGAAGGGCACGCAGCTATTCTTTCGCTAGGTTTTTCTCCCGTATTGATCCCTTAAATCTTTATTATTTGAAATCAGCCCCCCCAAATCAATGAAATTGCTATCAGCTCCCTCAAAGCTTATTAATTATTCCAAATGAACCCCTCTATTGTTTATACCCTCAATTAACCGTTTCCCGTCTCGAATACCCAAAAAATAAATTAAAGAAACAATTTTAAAGGAGTCTCGGAAATAAAGTTTCAAAATGTTGTGGAAATATGGTTATATCAGATAAACTTTTGAAAAAAAGAGTTTTCATATGCTTATGGGTTAGTCATAGCCACATTTAATTGCAAGAAATAACAGAGCCATCAAATCATTGTCAGATACACTTTAAGAAAAATGAGTTTTCATATGCTAGTAATAGTCATTTAGTTGCAAGAAATAATAGAGACCTCAATTCATTGTCTTCTCATTTGCATAGCATTCTAGCAAGTACCAAAGACTGCTCAACATAAATTATAAAGAAAAAACACTTCACCAAAAACAGAGAATGAGATATGATCTTGGAACCTCACTTGTATGAGACATTTAAAGAAATGACGTCATATGTCTCTTTGTAAGTCTTCTGACAAGTTCGCAAGTAGCTCTTCCTCATCTACACCTCAAGTGCCAGCCCAACTATCTTTATGCTTGCCTCACCTGTCTGAATAATTCAATTCAAAATAAAAAAATGATAAGAAATGTTGGGGGGTTCGAAACAATCAATCGAATCCTTACCCTTCCGGACCTTGTGTTGAAAGTAGGAAAGTAGGAATAATACCACAAATAAAGATCTAACCTTGCAAAAATAGTAAAGAAGACGAACACACAGATTTAACGAGGTTCAGCAACGTGCCTACGTCCTCGGGAGCCACACCACACAATCTCTTTTATTAATTGAAGAAGAATACAAGCTCTCAAACTAGGGTTTTATCTCTATGAGATTCTCTCTCTTTTTTGCAGTCAAAAAGCTCTCTTTTTTGTCTTACAAACCCTAAAAACGTTTGGGTATTTATAACAAACCCCAGCCAAACAAGATTCCTAAACAGGATAGGAAACAGGGAAACAGCGTCGCGGTCGACCGTCGTACCAAGGTCGGTCGACCGGCCAGAGAGAAAAATTATTACAGTGTCCTGTACACATTTGCGGTCGACCGCAGTGCCACTACGGTCGACCGCACAGTCTTCTGACTGTTTTCTTCGTCTTTTCGATTGCAGCTTCGGGTCTACACACTTAGACTAACAATCTCCCACTTGGAGACCAAAGCGCTATCAACGAGCTCACCCGAACTCTTCCCTTCTTCGCATGTATCTTTTCCCTGAAAAAATTCTTTCTTCAATCAACATCCCGGCGATCGCGCCGATCCTCGTAGTGTGGCTCCGCCTTCGTCTTCTACTCGTGAAGGCCAACTGAAGTTGCGCACAAGTCCAGTTTCTCAATGGTGACTGCCTTTGTCAACATGTCCGCCGGATTTTGAATCCCCAAAATTTTCATTAAGTATAACTTTCCGTCCTCGATCAGCGAGCGTATGAAATGGTATCGTACGTCGATATGCTTCGTTCTGGCATGATATACTGGATTATTGGCAAGATGTATAGCGCTCTGGCTATCACAATAAAGTACTCCTCTCCCTTACTTTAGATCCAACTCTTCCAAGCACCCGTTCAACCAGATCATCTCCTTGCTTGCTTCAGTCACCGCGACTACTCAGCCTCGATTGTAGACAAAGTCATAATCTTCTGCAGACGTGAGACCCAGCTCACTGCTGTCGACGCTAAGGTATAAACATACCACGTGGTGCTTCACCTCATGATCACCGGCGAAGTCCGCATCCACGTATCCCTACAGCACCAACTCCTTCCTCCTGAAATATAGTGGTTTGTTTGTTGTCCCCCTCAAGTAGTACTGCATTATCCACTTCACGGCCTCCCAATGCTGCTTTCCTGGATTGCTTGCAAATCTTCTCACAACTCCCACTGCATGGGCGATGTCCGGCCTCGTGCAAACCATCGCGTACATGAGACTCCCAATGGCCGAAGAATATGGCACCATGCTCATATGCTCTCTATCTGTATCTGTCTTAGGCGATTGCTCCTCAGATAGTTTGAACTGACTTTCAAGGGGTGTGCAAACAACTTTAACATTCTGCATGTTGAACCTCTAAAGTACCTTCTCAATGTATTCAGCTTGGCTCAATCTCAATGTCCCTTCAGCTTCATCCCTACTGATTCGCATCCCTAGAATCTGCTTCGCTGCGCCCAGATCCTTCATTGAAAATTCCTTTGCTAGATGCTTCTTCAAACTGTTTATCTCTTCCAAACATAGTCCTGCTACCAACATGTCATTAACATATAATAACAAAATAATAAAGCTGGACTCGAACCTTTTGAAATAACAGCAATGATCCGAATTGCATCTTCTGTAGCCATTGTTCTACATGAAGTTATCAAACTTCTTATACCACTGTCTCGGAGCCTGTTTCAAACCATATAAGCTCTTCTTGAGCTTGCACACCATCTCTTCCTTTCCTTCTTCAATGAAGCCAACAGGCTGCTTCATGTAGATTTTTTCATCCAAGTCATCATGAAGAAAGGCAGTCTTCACATCCAACTGCTCAAGAAAGAGATCTTCTGTAGCCACTAAGCTCAACACCACTTTGATGATAGTGAGCTTCACGACAGGTAAAAATATCTCCGTGTAGTTCACTCCTTCCCGCTGTTGAAACCCCTTCACGACTAGTCTGGCCTTATACCTCTTACTTCCATCACTCTCATGTTTGACCTGGTAGACCCATTTATTGTGCAAGGCTTTCTTCTGCGTAGGTAGCTGGGCTAACTCCCATGTCTCATTAGTGAGTAGAGAATCCATCTCCTCCTGCATCGCATGCTCCCACTGCTGAGATTCACTCACTTGCACTGCCTCTTCATAACACTCCGGCTCTCCACTATCTATTAAGAGTAGATAATCAAGTGACGAGAGGTATTTAGGATTTGGTTTGGGTACCCTGGATGACCTCCTAAGCTCCACGCCCTGGGTAGTAGCTTCTGTACCTGTAGTCTCCTCCGTTCTACGGTCAAAACTGACATCGTCGCCCCTATCTGAAAGTTCCTCCAAATCCATGTACTCGGATCCACCTGTATCCGTAGTGTTGCTCCCACTGCTTTGGCTATCCTTAGCATTGTCCATGTCCTTGTACATCACCTCCTCATTGAATATCATATCCCGGCTCCTGATGATCTTCCTGTTCTTCTCATCCCACAGACGATACCCGAACTCATCAACACCATATCCAATGAATGTACACTTCTGTGACTTAGCTTCTAGCTTGTCCCTGACATGGTCACTGCTATGAAGATATGCCACGCAGCCAAATACTCGCAAGTGTGAGAGATTTATCTTCTTGCCACTCCAAACCTCCTCTGGAATCCCAAAATCTAATAGAACTGATGGTCCGTGATTAATCAGGTAGGCTGCCGTATGTACCGCATCCGCCCAAAATGTCTTAGGCAGACCTGCATGTAATCGCATACTCCGCGCACGCTCAGTCAAGGTCCTGTTCATTCTCTCTGCAATGCCATTTTGTTACGGTGTCCCTGGAGTGGTTCTCTCTAAACGAATCCCATTCGTAGCACAGAACCTCTTGAACTCCTCCGGCTCGTATTCTCCACCATTATCTGATCTCAAGCACTTCACCTTCAGATCTGTCTCGTTCTCGACCATGGCCTTCCACTTCTTGAAGATTTCGAACACCTCTGACTTGTGCTTCATGAAGTAAACTCACACCTTCCTCGAGTGATCGTCGATAAAGGTGACGTAGTATCTCGAACCGCCAAAAGAAGACACACTGGCTGGGGCCCATACATCTGTATGAATCGACTCTAGTTTCTGAACCTTAGGTGGCCTTCCACCTTTTTGAAAACTAACCCGCTTCTGCTTCCCAAAGATGCAGTCTTCACAAACTCCGACTTCAACGGCGTCGATCCCGGTTAGCTTTCCTTGTGAATGTAGGATTTTCATCCCCTTCTCGCTCATGTGTCCCAGCCTATTGTGCCACAAATCTGTACTCTCCTTGCCAGCTGCAATTGCGATGGTGTCACTCGCATGTGAAGTGAGGTAGAGAGTTCCCGTTTTATTGCCACGGGCAACAACCATCGTACCGTTGGAAATTTTCCACGAATCCCCGGTAAATGTCTAAACGTAGCCTTCTGCTCCAAGCTGTCCCACCGAAACAAGATTCCTCTTCAACTTCGGCACATGTCTCATGTTCTTCAAGTTCCACTTAGAGCCTTTTATCTGTATCTGAACGTCGCCCTTTCCAACAATATTACAAGGCTCATTGTCCCCCAAATATACTTTACCAAAGTCCCCTGCTATATAGTTCTGAAGTAGTTTCCTATTAGCAGTGGTGTGGAAAGAAGCTCCTGAGTCGATGACCCAAGAATCAGAATCGCTATCCATAGCAAGGATCAAGGCATCCTGCACGATATGAGCCTCCTGCTCACCCGCATCCTTCTTTGGTGCTTTACAGACCGAATACATATGGCCCTCCTGGCACCAGTTCCAACACTTCCCTTTGATGGTTCTAACATTTGAGTTTGACCTCTTCTTTACTGATTTCGACCGATTCCTGTTCTGGTTCCCTTTCTTCTGGCTTCTGCCTCTCTGCTTGAAACTTAGGGCTGAACCTGAACCTTCTGATTCGGACGATTTCCTTCTAACATCCTCGGATAAAATCATGCTGACAACCTCACTCAGCTTCAACTTCTCTTTCCCCGCCGAATTGCTGATTGTCATCACACAACCCGCCCAACTATCCGGCAACTGCGATAGTAGTAGAAGGGCCTGCACTTCATCATCGAACATGATGTCCATGGAGATAAGTTGATCAACAATTGTGTTGAACTCGCTGAGGTGCATCGTGAAGGACCGTCCTTCAGCCATCTTAAGGTTGAAGAGAGTTTTGACTAGATGCACCTTGTTTGGTGCCGACGGTTGCTCGTACATCTTCGCGAGCGCTTCCATAAGCCCCACCGTCGTCTTCTCCTTCAGAATATTGTGGGCTACTGATTTGGCAAGCGACAACTGGATTTGCCCTAGAGCCTTCCTATCCAGTACCTCCCAATCACCATCTGACTCCTCTTTCTTCTGCCCCTTTTCCTTGCCCATCAGCGGGCGATACAAGTCCTTCTGGTACAGATAGTCCTCTATCTGTGACTTCCAGTATGTGAAGTCTGAACCGTCAAACTTCTCGATCTTTGATTTGTTTTCCTCTGGTATGGCTTTCACACAAATTGCTGAACGAAGCTCTGATACCAGTTGTTGGGGGGGGGGGGGGGGAACGAAACAATCAATCGAATCCTTGCCCTTCCGGACCTTGTGTTGAAAATAGGAAAGTAGGAATAATACCACAAATAAAGATCTAACCTTGCAAAAATAGTAAAGAAGACGAACACACAGATTTAACGAGGTTCGGCAACGTGCCTACGTCCTCGGGAGCCACACCACACAATCTCTTTTATTAATTGAAGAAGAATACAAGCTCTCAAACTAGGGTTTTATCTCTCTGAGATTCTCTCTCTTTTTTTCAGTCAAAAAGCTCTTTTTTGTGTCTTACAAACCCTAAAAACGTTTGGGTATTTATAACAAACCCCAACCAAACAGGATTCCTAAACAGGATAGGAAACAAGGAAACTGCATCGCGGTCGACCGTCGTACCAAGGTCGGTCGACCGGCCAGAGAGAAAGATCCATTACAGTGTCCTGTGCACATTTGCGGTCGACCGGATCTGCCACTGCGATCGACCGCATAGTCTTCTGACTGTTTTCTTCGTCTTTTCGATTGCAGCTTCGGGTCTACACACTTAGACTAACAAGAAATACTCACAACCATCAACCAAACTAGCTATGTAAGTGACTAGCAATATTCATATCTCCATATAAATATACAACTGTATGAATGCATGTTTAACTGCTAAATTTTAGAACTTCACTTCTCATCGAAATCTACCAGTGACCTAATCACCCAATAATCCATACAAACTGTAGAATAATTCTATTCTAAACCTCATGAAAATTAAATAACCGTCTAGTTTCTTAAAGATTGAAACATTTTGGTCAATCTAGATGGAATTCCGTCTAGTTTGCCTCAACCTAGATGGAAGCAGATTAAACGGAGCAAACTAGATAGAAATCCATTTAGGTGAAGCAACTTAGATAGGAGATTGAGCAACCTAGATGGAATTTTCCGTCTAGATTGCTCGTTTTTCTACTAGTGTTTGGTACGTTTCCTTCCTTTTCCAAAAACCATTTCCTTTATTTTTTTGTGTTCCCTTCACTTTCATAGAAATTGTTTCTTGTGTTTGTTTCGCCAAAACATATGGGCTAAAAATACTTTCCACCACTTTTCTTAGTTTGGTTCAACTTGAAAAAAGAAGAAAACAATTGATGTGTGAATAGATTCCCTCATTTTCTAGTGTTTGGTTCAAACTAAAAAATCAAGAAAACTTAATTGTGATCATCATGGTGTGATTACCACCCATATAAGACAAAATATTAACAACAAAAATTGAGGCACACAAAATATTGGCTAGTAAGTACACAACTAATTATTGCTGGAAATTCAGTTCAGCTTGCACACAACTGAAACCAAAGGCCAAGCACACATATATAACCAAACACTGGCTGAAACCAAGATCATAACCAACACAACTGAAACCAAACAATGAATATCCAACACAAATATCAAGCACAAATATCAACACAACCAAGACCAATACAAAAGCCATCCAATTCGCAAACCAAACCAAGGCTGTGACCAAGGCTGAGACCAGGCTGCGATCAAAACTAAAACAAAAGAGACCATTATCATAGTATTGATCCAACCTGTGCAATTAACCATTAAATGAAATAATAGTCTTTTTCCCCCTATTCTCACATTTCTTATTTTTACACATCATATGCAATAAGAATCAACATAAGATGAGATGCAGAAGCCGACCATTTAGTAGTTCAGCTTCAGGAAAATGATATCTTTTGATCCATGCCCACCAGGGTATTATTGATGAATCAAAGACTATAGGCTCGTCGTTACTTGATGCTTCGGGAGTTTCTTGCAGCCATTTCCTTATTCTAGCCTCTGAAAATAAAATGAATTTCTTAATAAGAGTTGGAAGACTTGACTTTCATATGTACTAAAAAAAGGAAAATCAAACATAAACATTAACCTTCATATATTCCATATTAGAAAGAAATATCAAATGGAATGATAAAAAAAATAGTAATTGACAATAAAATGTTGGACAAAGATGAATGGATGCTCAATATCAACTTTTTGTTGATGAATCTGCAAAGAACCCTGTTTTTGTTGTAACAAGGATTTCAAACAAGCTCCTCGACTTAGTGACAACTCTTTATAGAGTATGCTTCTAATAAGGTGTAAGAAATGAACTAAAAGATGAATCATTAGCACTAAAAAAGGGTAAATATAAGTGCTACTGCTACCTTGTTTATGGTAAGTTTTATAGTAACGTACAAGGAATGAACTAAAAAATAAAATTCATTAGCACAGAAAGTTTTATATTAAAAGAAACTTCAGCTAAATACTCACAAACCAGTTGACATATGAGCAAACGGTTTAGGATAAATATCCCCTTGACTTACCAAGGCACCTGCTAGGACTCTGTAATCACCCTATTTTTTCCACACAGTTAAGAGTTAAGATTATTAAACAAACTTCTCGCTCCTCCACAAAGCTTCCTCCAAGAGTACAAACAAATTTCCAGGTTCAAACTTAACTCCTAAAGCAATCAAAAAAGCTGAACATGGTAATGCACAATAAGGACTAGCATATCCTTCCTCCAAGAAGGATGTATTTACTCAAAACCTCTAAATCAATATTTTCCATGATAGAGATCATGCAAATCCATCTCCCCGCACTATGAAGCATCTCTAACATAAATGAAGCACTCACATGGCAACCATTGTTCAAATGTGACATGGATTAGCCCAATATATCTTCAGCATTTAAGTATCTTGACACATAACACTTGCAGAACTTACAAAAAACACACGTAATAAAAGATACAAGCAATGCCCAAGATGATCAATAGCCAAAACCATATACAAGCAAACTTCGCAATTGGATTAAAGAAGAAAAAGCAAAACTTTAACAATTCTAACTTAAAACACTGACATCATACTTCAGCATTTAATGAAAATAAATTGTATTTCTTCTCTATTGGAAAATGAATAATATTTTTTCATTGACTAATGCTGAAATCCAAATAAATAATTACCTCGATCTTAAGGCATGTCTTGAAGGATGCACATATATATAGTTGAATCCCAGATAAATAAGGCACATAATACTGCACAATTGCGACATCATTGCCATTCAAAATCAAAGGCACTCCAGCTCCATACGCACTCCACTCCTTAAATGACTCCCAAAGATCTTTGAGATCGAAGTATGGACAAGATTCCCCATTATCCGAGCTCCTCCACCTCCTCACGCTCGTCTAGTGCAGCAAAAACACGAAATTTACCCAAATAATTTTCAAGGACCCAGATAAATAAGGCACATAATACTGCACAATTGCGACATCATTGCCATTCAAAATCAAAGGCACTCCAGCTCCATACGCACTCCACTCCTTAAATGACTCCCAAAGATCTTTGAGATCGAAGTATGGACAAGATTCCCCATTATCCGAGCTCCTCCACCTCCTCACGCTCGTCTAGTGCAGCAAAAACACGAAATTTACCCAAATAATTTTCAAGGACCCAACTTTCCCCCCATTTCAGCTCTAATTAGCTTACCTTCCGACGGTACTGAACCGGAACCACGGGCGTTGTGGACTCAATAAACCGGTCCAAGTTGCCGACAGGAGTCGGCGGCGTCGACGGCGGAAGAGACGACGAATTTGAGTTAGAAGCAGGGCCGGCCCTGGGGTAAGCCCACCAAGCCCCGGGGCTGGGGCAACCCAGGGCCGGGGGGCAACCCATTCCGAACGTTCCTATACCCCTCAAACTGTAATTTTCTTTGATTTTTAAAATAGACTTTGTACAAGGGCCTTTATGCAAAAAATGTTAGAGGTTATGTTTGTAAAAGAACTCGACCCCACCTTTTATTTCAGCGATTCCAACTCCAAGTCTCTGACCTCCCGACTCCCGTTCACAAAAAAGAAGAAAAAAAAAAAGAAACCCTCCTCTCCTCGTCCAGTCCCCCTTCCCGAGCCGCCGCCGGCGGCTTCGCTCCTCCCTACCGAGCCGGCGAGCCTCCGAGTCCGTCGACCCGTCCTTCAAGCAGTCAAGCTTCACTCCATCAGGTAAAAATTTTTAACTAAATAATTTTAGGGTTTTTTTTTTGGATAGAAATTTGGGGTTTTTATGTTTTGCAATGAAATTAAGATTTTGATTTTGAATCTTGGTTGAATCTTAGTTGTTGAAGAATTAAATTAGGGGTAATCTTGGTTGAATCTTAGTTGAAGAATTAAATTAGGGGTTATGATATTTTGGAATGATATTGTTTGTTTTAATAATAATGATATTGCTTTAATAATAATGAAATTGGGGTTTGTTTTAATAATAATGATTTTGCAATGAAATAATGTTTGTTTTAATAATAATGATATTGTTTTAATAATAATGAAATTGGGGTTTGTTTTAATAATAATGATTTTGCAATTGAGCTTTGATCTTCATTGCATATTTGGTTTATGCTTTCTACAAAGCTCGGTATCATGTCCAATCAATTTAAATGTGCACAACATTGAGGTTTAAATTCATGAAGAACACGTTGAGAATATATGCTACCAGTTAGACCTTGAATTTTAATATAACTAGGTAATTGAGCAGTCATCTCCACCTCTATCAAGACTCTGTCCTTGATTGATATAATGTTTGTTTTGCAATGAAATAATGTTTGTTTTAATAATAATGATATTGCTAATTGGGAAATTGGGAAGATAAGAGCCGGGTCTGTCCTTCATTGATATTGCTAAGTTTAGTTTATTGTGATTTCATATATGTTATATAATTATATTTACAGACTACAATACACTATGACGGGAGATGACAAAAACCGAGCAAGGATTAGAAAACAAAACTCTGGAGCTCATAATAGAAGAGTCAAGCAACGTCAAGATGAAATGGCAAAATCACTACATGGCTCAATTTCTAAGCTATTCAAAGCAAAAACACAACATTCTCTTCTCTTGAATCAAGTTGAAGAAGCTAGTGCCACTACCAATATTAGTGAAAATATGGATGAGGTCATTGAGGAGCCCATAAATGAAGTCACTTATGCGGATGGAAGTCGTAAGGAGGAAGCTAGTGATGAAGATCATGAAGATCCTGTGAATGAAAATGTTCATGAAAGCATACTTGATCTTGAGAAAGATGTGGAAGTAAATTATGATCCGGGATTGTGGGGAAGTATAAATGATACTAAGAGGGTGATGATAGTTCAACGTGGTCCTATCAAGATTTTAATGAAAAATGATGAGTTTCCAAGTGAAAAGAAGAGTGGGAGAAATAGAAGTTTTTCTTCCAAATATTATATCCGTGAATTTCCAAATGGCGAGAAGCATGAAAGGAAATGACTTGTCTATTCAAATGAACTGAATAGGGTATTTTGTTTTTGTTGCAAGTTGTTCAAGAATAAACCAATGACAACCAATTTGGCGGAGAATGGAATAGACGATTGGCATAACCTTCCTACAAAGCTTAGAGAGCATGAAAGTAATCCGGAGCATTGTGCAAATGTTGTGAAGTGGGTTGACTTGCAAAAAGGACTAAAACTAAAGGCAACAATTGATAAAGATATAGAAGCACAAATTGAAAAAGAGAAAACTCGTTGGAAGATGATACTAGTTCGAATCATTGCGGTTGTGAAGACTCTTTCTCGAAATGGTTTGCCATTTCGTGGAACTAATATAAAGGGCAACCAAAATTAGATTGGGCTAGGGCAACCCAAAGCCCGGGGCCGGCCCTGCACTTATGCATAACAGAAGACAAAACGTAGAGAAAATAAACCTCCTTGTGATTCTCTTATACGTCTAAATATTTCAGACTCCATACAAGAAATTCACATCTCCTTGCATCTGAATAAGCAACGAAATCCGTAAAACGCAATCAAACATCTGAAAATTTTCGACACCCCTGAAATCAGTTAACAACGCGTAGCAACAGATTTGTACGAGCTTACAAGCGCGCGCGGACACCAAACATAGGGTCAATTGCGGATACACCCCCTGCGCTATCACCCAATTGCTGATAGACCCCCGGTAGTTCTGCCTAGGTAAAAAAATTTCTCAGACTCTTTAATCCTAAGAGACCTCCTGACCATCAATGAGTCACTCAAGACTGTTTCACTCACAACTGTCTATCTGCAATCGGGTGATACTACTACAGGACTGTCTATCTGCAATCGGGTGATACTGGGGGCCCTATCCGCAACGAACAACGCCCCGAAAAACACAGAATTAAACATTACCTGAAATCAGAGTCATCGCAAATCCTCTGAGCCTTCCACCCCTTGATCTCCCACCTCGACAGGATGGCGTTCCCGTACTCCGGCGC